TCCCTGGATCGGACACTAATTTCAATCAATCACTTGTGATTTTTACATTTGCAGAGTAGATTTCCCCTAATAAAAACAGGATAAAGGAGTGGCTGTTCGCTTTGTGACTGTAACAACAAACATGCAAAGTGAGATTCACATTTTATTGTTCAGATCGGGGGCCACAATTAGTGTTTGTGACGCTTCTCTCTTCTCGTGTACAGGCAATCTTTGACTTACGTCCACAACTGGGGCCGAAATTTGTCATTAACAACACAGTTGTAAAATGTGATGTCATGTGATTGCAACACTTACCAACAGTGCTTCTCCCCATTGCTGTCATTAACTAACAATCGTGGGTCATTAAGCAAGAACCCACCCCATTCCAAGTCATTTCAGGCTTGGTTCCTCACAGGCCCAAGCCTCAAGGTAAGGGACTGCCTAATCTTCAACTCCCCCCCACATCTCTCCTCCATCTCTGCCTTTTGGCCACATTGTACCCTGCCTTGTGGGATGACAAGCAGCCCCAGAACCTTGTGGCTGTGGTCCTGCTTGCCACATTGTTCCTTGGGGGGACTTCTTGCATGTTGCTTTTCTGGGTCTCCAACAAGCCCATGAGCTGCAGCACAGCACAAAGCCAGCAGCCAGCCCAGAAAACCCAGCTGTCCTGGGAACCCCCAGAAATGCAGTGTGAAGTTCACATTACAGAAAGCCCCAATCATCCCAGCCCCTCACTGGCCCCTCACTTTGACATCCCTACTGCTTTGCACGCCATCACCCCAGCTGACCTTTGCCATGTCCTTGCTCCCACTACTGCTAAGACTGGCCCACCTTAGCTGTTGGTGAGACAATTGCTGGCCATGTGAGGCCATTTTCCTCAGGTCTCACAAAGAAACCACTGTGCACCTGAGGAAGAAAGACTCGTGCAGCCAGCAACGGCCTCTCAAAGGCCAGGCCAGCCTGCTCGGTCAGCAGTGAAGCAAGAAGATGGCGAAGGTCAGCTGGGTTGACAGGAACCATGGAGTATAAGAGGGCAAAAGGGCAGAGAGGTGGGGAAAATAGGTGGGTAGGGGGAGTAGAAGTGCCTCACAGGGCTGAGGGTGGGCTGCCAAGTGCCCACATTTTGATCATGAAGACACTGCAATGCCCATAACTTTGGGGACTGGTCATGAATCCCTTCATTCAGCATCACTGTAACTTCAAACAGTCACTGAACGTAACGGTCATAAATGGAGGGTTACCTGTACAAGTATTTATCTTCTCTCAATTGGTAGATTACAACTTGATGGCAGCTTTTGAAGAAGCTTTGGCGTTCCAAGAGTAGCACACTGTTCTGAGATCTTATCTTGTGGTATAAATCAACAGAGGACCTCAGGATATAATTGATCCTGAGGAAGCTTACACAGGGGTAGGCTGGCTCAGGAATTCTGGGAGTTGAAGTCCACGAGTCATAAAAGAGCCAAGGTTGCCTACCCCTGTGCTAGCAGGTTGGATTAGATCAGACAGTGATTTCCCTAACAAAATGTTTTTTCTCTTATCTAAGATAAAGTTTTGAAAAAGCTGACAGTAACAATAATGAATATTCCTTGTCCTAAGGAACGTGAGCATATACTGCTTATGAATTATTAGATCATAATTTAAGACCTTTGTAACATCAATCAAAATGTGAAATTATTGTATTTGCAATTTTCATCAGTTACAACCATCATAGGTCATGATCAAGGAAATTGGGGGGTATAGAACAGCAAGGAGGTTGGGACTAAAAGCTGCTCAGATCTAAAAAGCATCTGAAAATGATCTTACTATGGTTTATCTAATTGACTCATTCTTATTTTCAGCCATTTTTTGCCTACAATTCCAACTCCTTTCCTTACTTATAGTGAAAACTATGACACCAACTTACCTTTTGGTCTAATTCAATTTTCTCTTCCATGCTACCTTAAGATATGAATTAGTTGTTCCTTTTCCTGACCTATCTAGCTTATTTGCATACTAGACTGTGATTGGTTCTAATGAACAATGTTTTGAAAGAGGGATTATATGTGTAATAATCACTGCACATCACAGTTATCACTATGACACATACTGGATTGCTGTTTTCAGGGAAGCCTCATCAAAAATGTATTCTGACACATTAAATTTTCAGACTGAAGCATGATTCACAGGTGTAATTTTGTAATAATAAAGAAGCAAAAACTTGTAATTACATGATTTGAACTAGTACTAAAATCTTGGGGTTTTGGCTGTTCTTGGCAAAATTTAAGAATTGGGGTAGGTGAAATCATGTTTATTGTTTATCATGTTCTCTTAATGAAAGATGATCTATTTAATAAACCATCATTGTACAACTCATGGCTTAACATGTTTATAATAGGAAAGATATAAAAGCTGGATTTGCACAGCATACTAATTAACCTAAATGATAAATTCCTAGTTTTTGTATACATTTATCTTATGGCAAATCCAGAAAACATTAGTTTATGATTCAGTTTGTTTTGAAAATTCAATTTTTTATTGCTTGCATGGAGAAAATTAATTTCAGCGCAGAATATGATAGAAGTATTTATTAGAGTAAAATTCAAATATGCTCCATTACATGATTAATGTATTCATCACTGACTATCAGCATTTTAACAAAGGAAGATTTTATATATATAAATAAATAAATAATATGAAGGTAGCTTTGTGTACAATGAATAGCACTGGTCTCTGATACATATAAAAAAGAATGCCTCATTCTGCTATTACTATTTTATCAATATTTTTTCCTCCAGAAAAAAATGTGCTTTATTTATGTCTTTATAGTGAAATCAAATCTGATTAAATAGAATTCAAATGATGAATTGAAGAGGATATTAATTATAAATCAAGTCTTCTCATTGTCACCAAGGATATATATAAATCCTGAGTTTGGCAATAAATAAATTTAAAAACGTTTTAAAAATTTTTGTATTGCTGCTAAGGGAAAAAAACTGAAATATAATCCATTTTCAACTGTAATATAAGTTTCTAATAGCTATTATTCTCACTGACTTGAATAGTTAATACATCAAGTTTTTTCTCTATCTTGATGGTATTCTGTCCTGACAGAAATATTGTTAGATAGTAGTATCTATAGTATTACTACATTGCACTTCATTAAACTTTTGTAAACCACCTGGGTTATGTATAAAATGAAATAGGTACATTCAATAAATACTATTACACCTGTATAATTGTTGGGAGAAATGTGTGACCGTTCAGATATTTCTGAACTAAACTGCAAACATCCCTTATCACTGGTTGTTTGAAAGTCAAAAAGCTTCTTATCTTTTGTATGCTATAAAACTAGGCTGCATATTTTTAAACACTGGCTTTTTAAAAAGAAGCATATGTGTAAGTATTTCATTGTATTTCTGTATTTTTCTAGCCCCAAAATGCAAGTAATTGTTTCTCTTCTGATAGTTCATATAATACATGTTTGATAAACAAAAGTAGTAATGAGCAATTGTTACAATTGGAGCCAAGTATATTAATCTGTGTTAAATATCTATAAGCGATTGATCCTTCCTCTATTCTTTTTTATTATTATTATTATTAAAAGTTTTATGGAAATTACAGTATAAACCCCCATACCCACCCCAAAACCCCTCCCTCCCCCTCCCCCACTTCCCAGAGCTGAACACAGAGTTACAAATATAATAATCAAAATCTATCTAACATTAACCAACTATTAAAATAACCAAGTCCATAATGCACTTTAACTCCCCTTTAACACTTCCTCTATTCTTTTATTTATTTTACTGGGCTTATGGGCGGCTCCCATCATGAACCACTCTGAGCAACATACAGCTAATATAATAACATTCATTATTATTATTAGATTTTTAATCCTTCATACGTTTAAAAAAGATAAATATTTGGTCAATTCAAGACAGTAAAAATACTGCACAGGTAGTCCTTGACTTATGGCCACAATTGAAACCAGAATGTCTGTTGTTAAGGATGGTGGCTTTTAAGGGAGCCATGCCTAATAATACAACCCTTTTGCCACGGTTGTTAAATGAATGATGCAATCCTTAAGCAAATCCTGCTTTTTCTCATTGACTTTCTTTGCCAATAGCCAGTTGGGAAAGTCCCAAATGGTGATGACATGACCCCGGGACAAGCTGCAACCACAGTAAATACATATTGGATGCCAAGCAACCAAATTGTGACTGTGGAGATGTTATGTTGGTTGTTAAGTGTGAGCACTGGTTGTAAGTCACATTTTTCAGTGCTACTGTAACTTTGAAGGAGAATATTTGTGGCTCAGGGTTGAAATGAGGGCTCTTGGTGCTCTCTAAGCTTGCTGGTTTTCTTGCAGATGTTTCATTACCCTAACTAGGTAACATCATCAGTGCTAGTCTTTTTTTATCGCTCACTTTCTGGGGCTATTTTCCATCCAACTGTGCAGTTGATTGGAGGCTTGTACCTGACACTGGTAGGTAGAGCATGCCATCGTAGGCATTCATGCAGGAAGAAAAGTTGTTCTTTGGTGGAAGTGTGCCTGCAGGAATTTTTTCCCCATTTGTATGCTGTCTGAAGCGTTTGATGCCCATATGTGGTATCAATGAAGGAGAATATTTGCAGCTCAGGGTTGAAATGAGGGGTCCTTGGTTCTCTCTGAGCTTGTTTGTTTTCTTGCAGACATTTCATTACCCTAACTAGATAACATCATCAGTGCTAGAGTAATGAAACGTCTGCAAGAAAACAAGCTCAGAGAGCACCAAGACCCCTGTTGTAACTTTGAACCGTCACTAAAGGAATGGTTATAAGTCGAGGACTACCTGTACTTTATACTCTTTCCTCTTTTTTTGTTTTAAAAGGTTTTATTAATTTTTTTCCATACATACAATAATAATTTTTCAACCAACGTGCTGTCTGAGTTTACATTCGCTAATACATATTTAATTCCTAATCCTTTATTCTTTCCTCTAGCCATCGATAAAATAAGTCCCAAGTTTGATAATATTCTGTTTCTTCTTTTTCTTTCAGTCTCATAGTCAATCTGTCCTACTCCTTCCTCTTATTTACCCACAATTATACAACAATAATTACGAATATAACCCAAACTCAGAAGAATTTCCACTGTTAGAGGGGAAGGGATCACTACTTCGATTCAATCTCAATACAATACATTCCACCTTTATGGAGTATGTTCTGATTTCAATTATTTTTGCTAGATTGTTAAGTGAGCAATGATCTGATCAAATTACCTGGGAGAAGCAAGATTTTGTATAGAATCTCTACTGTGGCCTATTTCCCAACAGCTACCTGGGGTGAAGCGGCAGAATTGGCTATGAAGTGGTCCCATTTTTTTTGCCAAATGTTCATGGCCTTTTTCTTCTCAGCAGGTTGCATACTACTGTATCTACGAAGGGAAAAGACTTAAAGATAGCAAGATACTCTTAAAGAAACGACTTAAAACTCAACACATTTGTATTCAGGAGATACTGAATAAACGGAATATGGCTTGCTTTCCAACTAAGCACATTGAAGCCAGTTCTCATTTGCACTTAATGGTGATGCCAACATGGCCAGCAATATCTTTTTTTGCCTCGTATTCCTGCCCACTCGTGTGAGTAAGGAAGGCTGAAGTCATCCTTAACTGTACCACTTAAAATAGATTTCTCCCCTGATTCCATTGCTTGCTGAGTGGGTCAAATCTGATAGAATCCATTACCCATAAGCTTTGGAGGGAAATCAGGTGTCTTTTAGGACTGAGAAAAGGGTAAAAAAGCAGGACAGGGATAGGTAATGGGACAGTAAATGCCACTATTTTGTGCCCGACTAAACATTGTGGGTATTTTTGTAACTCAGCAAAAGTTCTTAATATAGTAGCTGTTACGGCCCCAGCCTCGAGCTCAGAGTAAGAGGAGGAAACGCTTGTGTCACTGTTGTACTAATGTCTATAGCAGGGGTAGTCAACCTTGGCTCTTTCATGACTCGTGGACTTCAACTCCCAGCTGGCTCAGGAATTCTGGAAGTTGAAGTCCACGAGTCATAAAAGAGCCAAGGTTGACTACCCCTGCTCTATAGGAATGGATCAGATTTCTGATGCTGGTGTAGAATCCAATCTGGGTCGGTCACCGGGACCAAAGGTTTAGTCTTCTGAGCTTTTGGACTTGTGCTGGAGCCCATCCTCAGGGAACTTCTCTCTAGCAGAGTGTCTAGTGTCTGCTAGAGAGAAGTTCTCTGAGCACGAGTCCAAAAGCTTGGAAGACTAAACCTTTGGTCCTGGTGACCGACCCAGATTAGATTCCAGCAACATTATCGTGTGACACGTATATTCGTCTTCATTCTTTCTAATGCTGGGCTTGAAGCTAACGTCCAGCAGCTTTCAGGAATTGATCTCAGATCCTTTAGATGGCCTTGCTTGAGTCCATCCATTCCACTGTTTTTGCTGAACGGATGAGTGCCAGATGGAGGGCACAGAAGGTTAAAAAATCCCTTCAAGACAAAAGGTTGGCACGTTGAGGATTCACACAAACTTTAGGTCAATAGAATCTAGGAAGAATAGAGAGCAATGGCCCATTCATTCCCAATCTTTACCTAAGTATTGGTTTGGAAGTTCAGGGAGTGAGGAGCAGAAGCAGAGATGGTATCAGCAGGAGAGAGACAGAGAAGGGGAAAATATGCACCATTATGCTTTGGCAGATCTAATAAAAAATAAATCTTACTGAATTTAGTAGGACTTTTAGTAGGACTGGCACTCTAGGAAGAAGGTGATGGGCACAATAAACAAAAAAGAGTAGAATTTGTAGTGCTTGTAAAGTGTTTTTATAGCATGCATAGTTGTGAAGAAGACTCCACCTAGTTCCATCCCTAGTACCTAAATGTTTTGGGTCAGCAAACTGTGTATTTTCATTTTTTATGCAAAAAAACCTCTATTATGGCAGGGTAGATGTAGTTTCATATTTGGACTTCCTATCCAAATTTTGTTGACTCTTAATTCAATGCTGATATAAACTAGAGTGGTGATATATATGAAAAGTTCAGCTGGCTCTAAACATTGTGCCTATTTATTGCCCTGTTTGGACAAAGGTTTGTACATACATGGGGTTTCTTGGTCCATAAATGTCAGCATACAAAAGAGATGCACTTACTTTAAAGAGTTTAGCACCAGTTGCTTCAGAGTTCTCAGATCGGCACTCATCCCTCCTATGCCCATAAACATCTCATAGAAGTCATAGGATAATCCCTTTGCTCCAAAGACGGACGGATCATCAGAGGCAACCACTATCTGATGACCCTCTGACAACAGAAAAGCAGCAGGATGGTTTCTCAGATCTGATACTAGCTTCAGGACCTTGAAGAAGAACACATAAGCCAAGAGTTATTTTAGTTAAATCTGCATTTGGTTGTGAGCCAATTGGACCTATGGGACATTCAGAATTCTGAGAACTTATCTAGATCAGGAGTAGGCAAGCTTGGGTCTTTTATGACTCGTGGACTTCAACTCCCAGAATTCCTGAGCCAGCATGGCTGGCTCAGGAATTCTGGGAGTTGAAGTCCACGAGTCATAAAAGATCCAAGGTTGCCTACCCCTGATCTAGATCTACTGTCACAAAATCACTGTCACAAGAGGGCTTGTCTATGCACAAAAGAGCTGCTATTTGGATATGGTGAGCAACAAAATACCTACTTTTCTAAACGGTTGAGGTTATTCAACCAGTAGTAAGAGAGCAGTAAACATCTCTCCAGAAACTTAACCAGTATTCAGGAATCAACTGATCTTAAATAAATATTTTACACCTTCTGGACTTTTTCCCCCTCAGATTCTTTTCTTTCTCTTCTTCTCATTTGTTGTTTCCTCTACAGGTAGTCTTTGACTTATGGCAATTGGGACCAGAATTTCCATTGCTAAGCAAGGCAGCTGTTAACGGAGTCACGTCCAACTTTATGACCTTTTTTGCCATGGTGGTTTGGCAAATCACTGCAGTTGTTAAAATGAATTATTGTTCAGCAAATCCAGTTGCCCTCAGTGACTTCTACTCTTCGCATCTTTTATCCTACTGAGTGCTAGACAACATGGAAAAGGTGGTATTTTGTTTCTAACTCTAATCTGCTCTTCCATGATTGAAAAACTGATACAGTACTCTAATCTTTAGCCTGCTTGTTTCAGAAAGACTAATGTTTATTCTTCCCATTTCTGTATTTCACCATGTAGACAGAGATATAATGTTTCCATCTAAGCATACATTTTCCTTATTAAAGTTAACTCCTCCTTTTAGCCTATAATTATATGTCTCTTAATAACTTTCTTGGTGTATCCCTCACTTAGCAACCATTTGAAGTTATGATGGATCCTCCCAAAAGTTACTTATAACTCAGTTCTGGAGTTCTGGTGGCTGCACAAACCCCTTCTGGTCACATGACTTGGAATTTCAGGTGCTTGGCAACCGGTTCATCTTTAATGTTCCTGTAGTCATGTGACCACTATTTACAACATTTGTACTGGTTTCTGGCCTCTTATTCTTTATACTCGTTTATTCTGGCTTAATGACTGCCACAAAAAAGTCATAAATTTGGGTCAGGTCACGCAGGTGCCTTGACCCATGGCCATCATGAAAATTCCAGGTTCCATTAAGGCAGACATGTCAAACACAAGGCCGGGGGCCGGATGCGGCCTGCAAAATGGTTTCATGTGGCCCGCGAAGCCATCCTGGAAACAGTGAGGGAATGGCCCCCGCTGCCTTGGCCCTAGCCCAGACCGGCCGAGAGCCAATGTACAATTTTGTGGTGGCCATCTATGCTGAAACACATTCAGTCTTAGCTCCACAAGGCCGTCTAGAAACAGCGAGGAACCAGCCGCTGCTGCGTCGGCCCCGCCCCCTGGGTGCATGCTGGGGAGGTGTCACCCTTTGTGAGGAATGAAGAAATGGACCATGCCTTGGCGCTTGCCCTGGTCCCACCCCCTTCTGCCAGAGACCCTCAGATCTGTCCCGCTCCTGCCCAGGCCCCCACAGGCACCCTTGACGCGAATGATGTGCAGCTGGCCATGCCCACCCAGTAAGCCACACCCACTCCATCCACACCCACCCAGTAGGCCGCACTCACCCTGGCCACACCCACCCGGTCCCCCGAGGGCAACCGCAATGCTGATGCGGCCCTCAATGAAATTGAGTTTGATACCCCTGCATTAAGGTCATAAGTGTAAGACTACACATATTGAGCTATTTGCACATGGACTGTCTGCTAAGTAAGGGTTAACTCCATATTTTCCCTCTAGTTTTTTGTCATCCCATCTAACTTAATCCTAACATCTAGAATGTTCCTCAATCTGCATCTTTTATCTTTCCTTTTTTCTGGGCTGACGGGAATATTCCCAAATAAAACCTAGTATTTTTCATTTTCTATGGAAGCCCATGAGGTCTATAAAAGGATTGGAAATAATACATTAAGTCATCTCCTATCCCAGAAGATTCTAGAGCAGCGGTTCTCAACCTATGGGTCGCGACCCCATTTGGGGTCGATCGACCATTTCACGGGGGTCGCCAAGCAAGGCTGTCCGCCATTTTTTCCCCTTTTCCAGCAGGTGCCTTACCTCCCTTGAGCTGGGCCAGCTGGCGGTCGGCCTGCTCCGTCTCTGCCGCTTGCCAGCTACGCCTTGGCCGGCGCAGGGGGCAGAACCACGCATGTGCGGCACTCCCGGGCAGGGAAAGTCCTCGACTTACGACCGGTTGGGTAGTCCTCGACTTACGACCGGTTTAGTCCTCGACTTACGACCGGTTTAGTCCTCGACTTACGACCGGTTTAGTCCTTGACTTACGACCGGTTTAGTCCTCGACTTACGACCGGTTGGGGGTCGCGGCATTAAAAAGGTTGAGAACCACTGTTCTAGAGCAAAGCTCAGCTCTCTTTTCCTTGAACAATACCTGATTAGAAATAGGACAGACTTCTATAGCAATATTTCCTTTCAACGCCAACCTCCTAACTTCTGAATGCTTGGCAAGGGCAAAGCCGTGACCAATCCGCTTGGTATTCAATAGCAGAGCATCCAACAAATTGTTATCTATCGAAGTGCCTTCCCAGTCTGAGTAATATAGAAAAAGAAGAGTTATTATACCTTTACAAAAGGATGGCCATCATGGTAAAACTCTCTCAAAATTTTATTCTGAAAGAAAAATAATTAATGCAATGTGTGGAAAAACCTTTTAGCATCTTCTGCAGAAGAGCATGAAGATTTCTCACAAGGTGTTTTTTTTTAAGGATTTAAACTAAGTCACAATGGTATCATATACCTATTTTATCCATGGAGCAAAATTCTTCATGAAATTCAACTAAAGTCATTTGCTCAAAGTTGCCAAACATTAATCATTCGCTTAATGACTGTTGCAAAAAAACTCATAAATTCAAGACACACAGGTCTCTCAACTTATGACCATCATGATTTACTCTGAAAATTCCAGGCTCCATTAAGGTCATAAGTTGAGGCCTGATGCAATGGGCTATTTGCACATATACGGTCTGCTAAGTAAGGTTGCCAACCAAGATTAACTCCATATTTTCCCTATAGTTTTCTGTCATCACATCTAATTTAATCCTAACATCTAGGATGTTCCTCGATCTCCATTTTTATTTTTCCAAGATAAACCTTCAGGATCCCCACACCTGTCCTGTCTTTTGTGTCATATTGGCTTTTTTATATCCTTCTGTATTTTGGAGAAGAAAGTATGTGAGAATTTCTGAGAACAGCAATCTGATCTCAGCACTGATGAGTGAATATCATATATCAGTGTTTCTCAACCTTTTCTTCACCATGGACCCCTTTTAAATATCATTTTTGGCCACAGACCATGGCCATGGACCACCAGGACTTAACTCAAGATTTAAATAATAACATTTCTTCAAGCCTTCATGGACCCCTCGTGATGACATCTTGGCCCCCCAGGGGGCTGCAGACCACAGGTTGAGAACCACTGTCATAAATAGATGTATATTTACTTAGAAATACCTACTACTGTGTTCAAAAGGTCCACCTCAAGAGGTAATTACAAAGAAGTTTGCAGAATTAATTTCTTATTTATTGCACTTCAAAGGAGCACTGTGATGTATTTGTGCTTACTTGTCTCACCAGCATGAAAGAAATATGGCAACTTAATTCCTTGAGTTTCTGGCAAACTTAAAGCTTCTTTCAGTTCCCAGAGAGAGTATCCACCATCTTCCCAACCAACCTGAAAAAGAGCATTGCTCTGGATCAGCATTCAGTACTTAGGTATTATTAATATATCAATAACTATTTATCATTTTAAAAAACCAAACAGATCTACTCTATTAATACAGGTAGTCCTCGACTCACGATCACAATTGAGCCCAGAATTTATGTTGCTAAGAAAGAAATTTGTTAAATGAGTTTTGCACCATTCTACAACTTTTCTTGTCACATTTCTTAAGTGAATCACTGCACTTGTTAAATTAGTAACACGGTTGTTAATTGAATCTGGCTTCCCCATTGATTTGCTTGTCAGAAGGTCACAAAAGATGATCACATGACCCCGGGACACTGCAACCGTCATAAAGATGAGCCAGTTGTCAAGCATTTGAATGTAAATCACATCACCAGGGGATGCTGCAACAGTCATAAGTGTGAAAAATGGTCATAGGTCACTTTTTTCAGTGCCGTTGTAACTTCAAACGGTCACTAAATGAACTATTGTAAGTCAAGGATTACCTGTAGCATGGCACCAGCTGCAAACAGCAATGGCCCATAACAAGCCACTGGATGATTGCAAATTCAAAAAGTCAGTCTTTTCTTTCTGTTCTTTCACTTGGGCCAACTGCCTGCCTGCCATACCCCCTGCTTCCCAGCTTGTGATTCATGCTATTCAGCCAGCAATAGTGAGCACCTGAATGCATTAACACTCTGGCAAAGCAGAAGTGAAGTAGGTTTGTTTTATGCCAGGGGTCCTCAACCGTGGCAACTTTAAGACTTGTGAACTTCAACTCCCAGCAAAGCTGGCTGAGGAATTCTGGGAGTTGAAGTCCACAAGTCTTAAAGTTGCCAAGGTTGAGGACCCCTGTTTTATACTATCTTGGGAAAGGCATGCAAATGAAATCGATTGTGAGGCAGTGGTCTCCACCCCAGCAGTGAGGTACAGAGCTGTAAGTATGGAAATTCTATAGTTCAGTTTCTCACTTGATTAAGACAGGCAATGTTCACAAGGATTACAATACAGATAGTCCTTGAATTATGACTACAATTGAGCCCAGAATTTTGGCTCTAAGTCATTGTGATTGTAAGTCGCCACATGACTTGACTCAATTTTAAGACCATTTTTATGGTGGTTGTTAAGTAAGCTACTGTGATTAAGTGAGTCAGATAATTGTAGCTCCAATCATGTGACAAGAAAATGCTGCAAGTTGGTTGTCAACCTTCCAAAATGTATCACGTGACTTATGGAGCTGGTGCAGCAGTCATGACTTTGAGATGGTGAATAACTTTTTTTTGAGTCTATTGTAACTTCAAATGGTCATTATACAGCCAGTCATAAGTCAAAGATTACCAGTGTCTCTATAACATTCTGTCTCAGAAATAAGTCTAAGGTTCAACTGTATGGGTGTTTCCTTTATAAAATGATGAGATGAAATAGTATGTGGGAATGACCTTGGCAGACAGGAGGGAAACTGCAGAGTAGACAACCAGAACGTTCAAGATGTCTCAGTGCACAGAAGAGGGGAATGGCACTGGAAATTAGAGACCCTCCCTAATTTCAGGTAGTCAATATTTGTCATATTGAGCCAAATATTTTTGTGCTAAGCAAGACAATTATTAAATAAGTTTTGTCCCATTTTATGACCTGTTTGCCACAGTTGTTAAGCAAATTTCTGCAGTTAAGTGAATCTGGCTTCCCTCATTGACTTTGCTTGTTGAAAGCCAGCTGGGAAGGTCATGAATGGTGATTACATGACCCCGGGATAGTACAACTGTCATCAATAATGCCAAGCACCTGGATTGCCAAGCACCTGGATTCTGATCATGTGACCATGGAGAGGCTGCAATGGTTGTAAGTGTGAAAAATGGTCAGTGCTGTTGCAACTTCGAACAGCCACTAAACAAGTGGTTGTAAGTCAAGGACTATATGTAAAAGGGAAGCAGGGGAGAAATACTTTCAGTCTTGCAAAATTCTGTTAATATAATCTAACAATTTCCTGGTTGAGCATCTGGTCTGGGCTTCAGTGCAGGGCTAAGGTAGTCATGTGATGGGACTGCAGCTGAAATACTTTAGCTCCCCACTATTTCATCTTCTTGCAGTCCTTCTAAAATAAAACATACAACCCATGAGGAATGAATATCAGGAATTACCAAATCAAACCCTGCCACAGTATTTGGGAACTTAGTTCTGAGTTTGATGGCTGTGCGAATAGCTTCTTTGATCTGGGAAACACTTTGCTTTCTGAAAGGCAAAAGCAGGAGAAAATATCAAGGAAAAAAAGGTTGTAGATACTGTTGCTTTGATTAAAAAGTGCTGAACAAATATTTGGCTAAACTTGTATGATGGCTAAAAACAGAATATATACCTAACCAGTTCACCAACAACAGGGAGAAAGAAGTCATGAGAGAAAGGCTATTTATTTAGTACGTTTATAAGGTACATACTCATGGATAATCCCATCTGCAGGCAATACTTGCATATTAATGCATTCATCCCAGAGGGATGTAACTTAGCGGTCTCCAAACTTGGCAACTTTAAGACTTATAGACTTCAACGTCCAGAATTCCTCAGCCAGATAACTCCCTTATGAGCTAAGATGTGACTATGTACTTAATCAGGCTCCCTTTTTAATGAAAAAATTGGAACAAAATACTTAACTCACATCAGCCTTACCAATCAATGTTGGTACCCCTGCCATATGTTAGCCTATAAATCTCACAATCTCTGAATAACTATGAGGGTATCAAATTGGGGAAACATGCCAAAAGGGATTCTTTTTATAGTACCAAACACGTACTTCACACCTGAAATTCTTCTACATGCTCATTATGATGTCAAGCTCAATTTGGATTGGCTTAGAATAAGCCAAGTTATTCCTCACTTCCATTATATCATATTTTAGGTTCATCCTTCTGAAGATTCAGAACTCGCTACACCCCAACTTCAGAGGTGGTGAGGTTCAATTCTGTCTTAGTCCCATGCCTATGTGCTTTCAAGCTCCTTCCCTTTAACACTCTCCAACAAACCCACAAATTCCATCAAACGTAGCTCTTTTGTATCAATTGATCTAATTTCTATTCCATGGCAATAAGAAGTTGGAAGACAGGAGACTGGTAGGCTTTAAAAAATCATTCAGAAACAGCTATGGTAGGATAAGGAACCTCTGATACTCCTAGTGTTGCCCATTTCCCTTGCCACTAGCTACTATGATGTGAGTGCTGGTCTGTAATTCAGAACTTATGGATTCATAATCCTAGTGGGGGTCAGGAAGAAACATATATCTAGATACTTATTGGATAGATAGCTATAAAGAGAATGATGCGATTTTTAGTCATTACCCAAAGGTGGTTTAATTTTTAAAAAATTAAGATGGTTTTATTTTTGCTAGTTAATATTGATTGATAAGTTGGAGTCAACCACACAGATGTTCCCCCCCCCCAAAAAGGATCTAATCCCAGCCTGATTCTTCAGGCCTTTCAGTGCCAATATAATTGTGTTCTTCCACTTTACTTGTTAATATTAGTTACTTAAATTCAAATGTATGGACCTGCCCCAGTTGACAAAGCTATCTGGACATTCCTTACCGGTGTGTCGTATATATAAGTTTTAGTCCCACAAAATCAGGATGATCATTTACAAATTGCTTAGACACTTCTTCAAAAGCTGCCACAGACCAAAATTTATCATGAAGACTTCCATCCAGCTCATATATCTGTGGGCAAAAAAAAAGAACACACAAAAGTTTAAACCATGTGAAAAAAGCTCTTACAGGAAAACTATACATACCATATGTAACCACTTGCTAACATAGATCACCAGGAGGCAGTATGTGACTAATTTCATGGTAAATCTGGACTCATTGGATGTATGTAGCCCACTCTTATTCTTATTCAAACCACAGAATAAGATCTGGTTATATACGTCCAATCAGTCCCAGTATAGGAAAAAAACAGTTATATACTGCCACCTGGAAATAAAAGCACCGGATAGGATATACTGTACATGATATAAAAATAGGGAGATTTCCCCTACTTCAAGAAGGGTGATCTCTCTCTCCTTCTCTCCTTAAGGGAAGTGGACTACCATTCTGGTAGTTTTTGAATGTTGATTATGATGTTTAAAAAAAGTATATTTTTGTCCATTCTATCAAGGGACACCCAAGCAGTACTTTTTCAAAGAAGACCAAAGAAGTATGAGGAGGGGAAGGGGAAGGGAGATGGAGGTGGAAGAGAAGGGGAAGGGGAAGGAAGAGGAGAGGGAAAGAGGGAAGGGAGGAGGAGGAGGGGAGGGGAAAGAGAAGGAGAAGGAGAAGAGAAATGTATTACCGGTGGTAGGATAACTCTGATCTCAACATACTGCACATTGTCTTTATAGAGCTCCACCAGACCTTGATAGAAATAGGATTTAAACACAGGTGCATAGTTAATAATGCCAGAAGCGGTCTTAAAGATATTTTCAAATTTGTCCCAAATGAAAGCTTGAGTTGGGTAGGTCTTCTCCGGAGTATCTGTTACTAGTGTTAGGTTCCTCAGTAAACTGGAGAGGGAGAAAGAAAGGCATAGTGGCAATTTAACAATGTGCCTATAAGAAGCTTGCCTTCTGACCTGAGGAATCATCACAAAATCTCTTGTTCTTGGACACAAGCTCAAGATCCTTTTAAATGCTCCACAGATCATTCCCTTGCACAATCGCTTTTTAAAAAAACAATATTTATTTTATGCATACACAATTAACAAACTTCAATCTTAAAAGAAACAAATAGAGAAGAGACAACCGCAAATTAAAAATATATACTAATAAGGAAAAGAAAAATGAAAAAAAATATCTGTCTTAAATGTTATACTTATCAAGTCATTGATTTACTAATGAATACACTAATGATTAACACAAAATATTATTGTGAAATATCACATGTCTGCCATAGTAGCACATACACCTGAATCTTTTGATTGGTAGAAAATAATCAAGTAAATAATCTGAAAATAATTTTCCAAAGAAATAAATGACACCTTTCCAACAACCATTCCTTGAAGTTTGGAGTAATAACACATTTCCATTTTCTCAACATAACTTTTAGCTCTCTTTCGTGCACCAGCATTACTAAGCATGTGTATTCTTTATTCTTAATTTATGCTTCATATTTCTTAATTGCTCTTTTCCCTCCCTGCCATAAATTCCAATCAACATTTAGTACTGTATGTGCACTTCAGATGTTATCCTAGGATTCTGTCCTAAGCATATTTGGTCAGAATAATAAATTTATTCATCCCACTATTTCAGGTTACTTAACTATTTTTAGTGAATTAACCACTAAATAGGTTTGCTATAACCCATAAACCATGGCCAACAACCAGAATATGCTAAACAAAAACTGAACTAACCACAAAACAGGTGCAAAAATGCAAAAAGAGGATGTGACTGTTTTTATTTCCCAATGCAGTTTATAGGTCTGATATTTCCTGGTAATCTCTTATCCAAGCATTAACCAGATCCAATCCAATTTATCTTTTCAAGATTTGGTAGTGCTGCAGCTATTGTGATTCTTATTAATTAAAAAAAACTGGGAAGGCATACAATCCTTAATATTCTCTCTTGAGGCATTTTGAAGGTAGCTTTGTGTACAAGAATTAGATTTTCTAAGCACTCTATGGCATACATTGTGTCAACTTAACACCATCTAGACCAGGGGTAGGCAACCTTGGCTCTTTTATGACTCGTGTACTTCAACTCCCATGGCTGGCTCAGGAATTCTGGGAGTTGAAGTCCATAAGTCATAAAAGAGCCAAGGTTGCCTACCCCTGATCTAGACCAAGGGTCTTCAAACTTGGCAACTTTAAGACTTGTGGACTTCAACTCCCAGAATTCCTCAGCCAGTTTGAAGACCCCTGATCTAGGCTCTGTGCTGTTCAGTTATCAATGACTTTGATGTGGGGAGGGAAAATATGATCTTGAAAAGATAAACAGGATTGGATCAAATTTGTCAAGGTGGGATAGGATAGATGGGAATAACCTCAAGATTCAGAAAGATCTTGACAAGGTGGAATAATGGGCAGAAAAATGCCTTCATCTAGGTAGGAAAGCATGATTATGAGATGTAGGGCGCCAAGCTCGGCAACATGATGTTCGAGAACGGTGTTTTGGTGGAGCACAACTTGAATATGAGCCAAAAACATGTCAGTATTAAATACAGGATTGGGTCAAGATCATGAGAAATCACTGTTCCACTCCATTCTGCATACGCTAGATATACAGTATCTATAGAACATTGTGTCTAGTTTTGGGCACTGGACTTTGTCCAAAGGAGAAAACCCATAAAGACAAGTGGCCTGGAAAGAAACGATTATAAAGAAAGATTGGAAACATTGGCTATGCTTAACATGGAGAGAAAAAGACACAGTAAAATATGGTAGCGGTCTTCAAGGATCTTAAGGGCTCCCATACGGAACATGGAAAGGAATCCATTCCACTGGGATCATTTGCCATAATCATTTTTTGGATCCAAAGAAGAACATGAGAAAAGATGATTATTTTGCAAACAAATAAACTGGGATGCTGATTTGTTACTACTGCTAACAATTATATTGTTATTACAATTACAGAGAAGAGAGAAGACAGCATGTGCAGAGCAAAGTTTAGCACACAAGATTTGCTAAAACTGAGAAATGTGCAACTAAAAGTAGAACCCCAGAAGAAACAATTGGCCAGATTCATGGGCCATGCTGCAGCAGCTGAAATGCTGAGGATCCTACTGGTATCAGGTCAGCAGGAAGTCCTCCTCTGATGGTATCCCAGATCAAGCTTCCCCTGGGAAGCCTTAGAAGACATTATGCAGAAGGCACCAGCTACTTAATCCAGGGGCTGTTTCTCCCTCACTTAGTTAATTCTCCTTTTGCAAGAAGATTAGCATCAGAGTGTAAATATTCAGATAGCACTAATGTCTGCTGGCTCTGGGGGTTGGGAGGAGAACTTCCTTCTTTTTAAGAAATTGAGCAGAAGGAATAAGAGGAAAGCTGCCTGGGAATCATTCAGTAAAACCTGGCTATTGGGTTAGGCTACATTTTGGATTCACATAATGAGCCATAAAGAAGAAAAATAGGCTAGATTCATGAAAACACATCATGTCACAAAAATATATGGAAGGTTAACACTAAACAAGCTTCAAACAATGTGCACATGGACCCAACTAAGTCTTCAACTAACTTGGTGGTGCCATTAAATATATCACGTTTTCTATCTTGATATTTAGCAATCTTATTGTCAAATTTAGACAATAAGAACATATTGAATATATTAGTTGTCAGCCCAAAGGGCTGCCTCATGAGGTGGTGAGTTCATTTGCAAGTCTTCAGGTAAGAGGCTGGATGGTCTGTCAGAAATGCTGGAGTGGATCGTCCACCTGAGTAGTCAACTGGACTGGATGACCTCTAACATCCCTTCTAAACATAGGATTCTATTACCGAAAATGAATTTGAATTCTGAGCAATTTCTACACTCATAAATATTTGTTCTAAGGCAGTGGTTCTCAACCTGTGGGTCGGGACCCCATTTGGGGTCGATCGACCATTTCACGGGGGTCGCCAAGCAAGGCTGTCTGCCATTTTTTTTGTCTGCCATTTTTTTGTCTGCCATTTTTTTCCTGTTTTCCGGCGGGTGCCTTACCTCCCTTGGGCTGGGCCAGCTGGTGGTCGGCCTGCTCCGTCTCTGCCGCTTGCCAGCTATGCCTTGGCCGGCGCAGGGGGCGGAACCACGCGTGCGCGGCGCTCCCGGGCAGGGAAAGTCCTCAACTTACGACCGGTTGGGTAGTCCTCGACTTACGACCGGTTCAGTCCTCGACTTACGACCGGTTTAGTCCTTGACTTATGACCGGTTTAGTCCTCGACTTACGACCGGTTGGGGTCACGGCATTAAAAAGGTTGAGAACCACTGTTCTAAGGCCTCTAAAATGTTTTGATATCAATTTTAGTGTTCAATTTTCATTAGTACTCTTGCATTTTCTTTGGAATGAGTAATTCCACTTTATTTCATCCTAAGAAGTGTCAGTCAAGTGTCTTTTGACTTATTATCATCTCCCCAAGCGAATAACATGCAAATATGCTCATTGTATGCAGTGAAGTATGCAAATCAAGTTTGGCTCATGCTGTTGTTCCATCCAAGCCCTTCATAATAAACCAGGGTTTCACCCAGGACCCAGACCACATTCCTTCACTATGACAACTGTGACCAGGTCCTATACAGTAGTTCATGCTTGGTGCTTTTCTTAATCAGAGCCTGATCAGTGAAAAATATACATAATGGCACAAGCAAGACCTAGACTGAATTCCCCCATCATCTCCGTCATTATTAATCATAATAATATTGTGTGTTCCACAACTTACAAGAAATAGCACTGCCAATTATTCTAAACCAAGGTAGCAATGAGTCTGATCAAACAGACAGGAGGAGACAGCACAAAATGGATTCTCTTTGCCACACATTTAAAGGGCCAGCTGCTGTTTCTCTGCCCAAGAAGTTCTCCCTATGCTTTCAACTGCAGGTAATGTTTCATTCCCTTATTAAGTGGGATGGGAGGACTAGATTAAAAGAGTGGGGAAGGAAGCTAAAACATCCAATAGCCCTAATTTGCTCAGGGTGTTTTCCTTTTTTTTTTTTTAAAGTTCCACCAGTCAAGGAATTCAAAGTTAAGGTTTCCACAGCAACGTTAACTCTGCCCTCTTGTGCATGACAATGGGGGGTCTTTCTTGTTACATTAGCAGACAAAAGATTGGGCAATGCAAGAAACTACTCCATAAACAATGCAACATAATAGAAAGGAAATGAACCATAGCAAGAATGGCAGCATTTTCTGCTAGTTTATATGTGGTAGTAACTGCCATTTCAGGTCTATTCGGACAACTGCTTATGTCGTGACATAGCAAACATCACCCTAGAAACCAAGAATGAATGAAGGGCAGGGAGGCATCTTTTACAAAGTTATCTGAAGTATAAGACACAAGGAATGCCCACAAATGGCAGTTTTAAAAGACAGATCTCCTTCAGCTCAGCAGGGAAATATCACAAAAATTTGGCCAAAAAAAATAAAATAAATACAAATGAAGAAAATCTTAAACTAGAGGGTTTTTTTAGAAAATGAACACGAGTTTTGGGCAACTTGATAATATTTACTCAAAATAAGTCCTATTATGCCTAAATCCTACTAAGATAATGTAGAATTGCATTTTTAGGACTGATATGTATTAAGTATGATAGTACCGGTAGTCCTCAGCTTATAACAGTTCATTTAGTGACTCTTTGACGTTACAACAGCACTGAAAAAAAGTGACTTAGGACCATTTTTCACACGACTATTGCAGTGTCCTCATGGTCACTTCATCAATATTCAAGACACTAGGCAACTGACTCATATTTATGATGGTTGCAGTATCCCGGGGTCATGTGATCATTTTTTGCGAACTTCTGACAAGCAAAGTCATTGGGGGAAGCCAGATTCACCTCACAACCATGTTACTAACTTAACCACTGCATTCACTTAACAACTGTGGCAAGAAAGGTCGTAAAATGGGGCAAAACTCACTTAACAACTGTTTCATTTAACAACAGAAATTTGGGGCTCAATTGTGGTCGTAAGTTGAGAGCTATTTGTGTTGCCATTATCATTTTAATCTCAGCAAAATTTTGTCCTTGCAGAATCAAGCTGTCCTGGTTCTCCTCTTTTCAGAAAAGATAAAATGAACCAAACAGACATGATGGGTTTTTAATTCCTTCACAGAATGTTTACTATGGGTAGGAAAATGGATGGAGAAATTTGAAGACACGCCAATGCTGGAAGAAAGTGAGTAAATGATATAGGACTTGTGAGGAATTCCTATTTGTCAGAGGAAGCAAAACTGGCTGTGTGTAAGAGCATGAGAGCTGGAAATATCAGGAGAAACATAAAAGCTGAATGCAGCGGGAATGGGGGGGGCTTAAGAAGTGTGTGGGACAAAACAAAAAGAGATAGGGTCAAGAATGAATGGATGAAGAATGAATGTAGGCTGAACACAAAAGTGGGTGATCAGCATGAAAGGAGTGTTGATATGGTTTGGTCACATAGAAAGAATTAATGAGAACTGAATTGCAAAACAAATACATGAAAGAAGAATGTATGGGTCAAGAGGAAGGAGAAACAGAATCATGGCTGGATGGAGTTGGTGAGATCTTCAAAAGGAGAGAAGCTTGAAAAATAAAAAGCAATGTTTCAAGGTACAGCATGAAATCAAAGATGGGATGAGTTACAAAGATGAGAAATTATGGAAAGGGGGAATTCATGTTCTTATAAATTGGATTTAAGTACATTACCTTTCTTTTTTCTTATTTCATACCATTCCCTTTGCTTACTATTTATTATTTCTTCCCTGTGTTTTGGATTCAGTTGCTTATCCAAAAAAGCGAACTGCATGATGGATATATATGTATTAATTGATTCTATGTAGTGCAGAGTACACAGTATTCAATAACCATGTAGGTCTTGGAGTGAGGGCTGAAGCTGGGATGGTAGGACAATTTTCAAAACATGGTGCAGATGCCCTCCACATCCAAGGTTGAGAAACAGACAGCAAAAAAATCAATTTTCACATAGTAAAGAAACATAAGATGTTATGGAGGGCTTGGTTGCTTCTTCATTATTAGGTTTTCTAGTATCTGCACTAAAACAACATATCTGTCCCAGCAGCCTTGTCCTTGATGCCTCTATTGTTATCGCCTGAATGCTGGTTGAATTTTGAAACAGATCTACCCTTCCATGCCCTGAATGAAGCTCTCTTATGAACAATACTCTTTATATTGAAAAAAGAAAGAATTAAAGAGCTGATACATGTAAGCTGCTATAATGAGTCAGAACAGTAGTTCATCTAGTCCAGTAATATTGACCCTGAATGGCAGTGGCTACCCAGAGTTTTAGATAGGTATACTGGAGATACCGAGATTTGAACCTGTAATCTTCTGCATGCAAAATATATGCTTGAGGTGCAAGGTACATATCTGCAAAGAAGTGCTGATTGAATTAATAATAATAATAATAATAATAATAATAATAATAATAATAATAATANGCAGGTTGTTCCACTGGTTAATTGTTCTCACTGTCAGGAAGTTTCTCCTTAGTTCTAGATTGCTTCTCTCCTTGATTAGTTCTCTGTCTTCACTCATTAATTCACTAAAACGTTTTAGATGGATGATTAACATATGGTCTTATCAGCCAACCCAACTCCACATTTTTTATTGTAGGGTCATAGTAAGGATAAGGTAAGGCACCCTGAGTAATTAGGGAACACATTGTACAAAAGTTAAGTATTATGGTTAAAACAATTTTGATATAATGTTTGCTCTACTGAAGCACTATGATGGCTTCTAGATTAAAAGAAAAGGCTCTGATGGAATAAACACGCAAAACAAGTTATTCCATCTTTAAAATTATGCAGATAATGCTCCAAACCAGCCTTCCTCAATCTGCTGTATTTCAAATTGTTGCATACTACTGGTAGCTATACATTCAAGGAGTTGCAGTCCCAGCACATCTGGAAGAGGCAACTTGGGGAAGGAAGAAGCAACATAATAGTATAAATTTGCTTGTAATCAATTCAGAAATATTTTCACTCACCTCTTATCAAATCCACCCACATCCTTTAGACTCTTGCGGTAGGTCTTTAGCAAAGTCCACTTGGAACAAAGAGGCACTTTTTTAGGAGGGGACTTTGAAAACTTGAACTGAACAGTCCATTTCGGGCAGAAGCAGATGTAACAATTCGGCAGGTAACTTGCATTGTATACCAGCCAGTCAGGACTCAGGATAAAATAGTCGTGAACATGTAAAAGGCCACCTGTCAGCAAGGAAGGAGCAAGTGGACAAAGGAAAACAAGATTGGATTGAATTGCTTTGCCAAGGCAAAGAATCTATCTATACCCCAGTGCAATATAGTGATCTGACCAATGTGGGTGAGGCAGTGGCGTAGCGTGGGTTGTCAGCACCCGGGGCAAGGCAAGTAATTTGCGCCCCCCCTTCCACAGTGGGCGGCGACCCGGCGGCTCGGATCGGATTCGCACAGCCAGCACTGCAGAGAGAGTGAGTGAGCCAGGCAGGGGCAGAGAGCTGCGAGTGCGAGCGCGCCCCCCCAGATGTTGCGCCCGGTGCGGCCGGCCCCCCCTGCACCCCCCACGCTACGCCTCTGGGGTGAGGAAGTCTATCAGTGACTAGCTGAATTGTCTCAAACAGTAGAAAGCTAGGAAGAGGAATGGTGCTTAAAGATACATTGGCCCTGTACAAGTCTAGATTGAAAAGATGAACACAAACCCTAGCCAATAACACTGTGCAAAGGCTCCAATGCTTGGATTGCACCATTGTCCAGAAGATATCTTCTTTAGCAAACAAAGGTTTTCTTTATTTAAAATTAGCTATATTTGCATGTTTAACAGTAGGCAGGGAGCAAATGATGGTACAAGAACAGCTTTCACGGTATTGTCTCTAAGACTTTATTTGCCTGCTTAGCTTCTTTATTGTGTTGGGATCTCACTACAAGTTTCTTGAAGGCAGATTTCATTCAAGGCGTAGATAAAATGTATATGAAGGCAATCATGTCTCAAACCTGAGACAAGAATGCAAGAAAACCACTTTTTTTTTAAATACCATGAATTATCACAAGTTCTGGTCACCCAAGCCTGGATATTTTTTCAGGGTAAATTTTTTCAATACAATTGAATGCTTTGGGAATTGGTAAAAGGGGCTGGATAGCCATCTATTGAGATGCTGTAGTAGTAGATTATTACACTGGACTGTAGTAGTAGATTACTACACTGGACTGGAAGTTGGACTATATGATCTCCAAGTTATCTCAGAATCTTACATTTAGTGATTCTACGACTAACAAAAGTAGCCATTTTAAACAAAAATAAATGACAAAAATGGAGGTCAGTGGTCATTATATAACTCAAATACTTATTATGCAAAATCGGTCATTATCAGTACTATCATGCATGAGGAAAAGCAGGGCAGAAAGGTATTGCTGAGGCTATTGTTCCCATTGTAGTTTGTCCAAACATCATTTCAAAATAGCATTACTGGACTCCAGTGTTTCTCAACCTTAACAACTTTAAGACATATGGACTTTGACTCACAGAATTCCCAAGCCACCTTGCCATGAATAAAGGTGTGGATTATAACTTGTTCTGTGAAACACCCAGAGAATATATAGCAGGGGGCAGGCAACTATGGCAACTTTGCAACTGGTAGACTTCAACTCCCAAAATTCCTAGTACCGCTGGCTCAGGAATTCTGGGAGTTAAAATCCAGTCATATAGTTGCCACTGTAGCCCACCCCTGATATATAGTATATAGTGTAGTTCTTAAACTAGTAATGGGAAAATTGCCTGGTTTAACAGTGATTGTTGCAGTTTAGATGCTAAAATGACCCAGTATCTTTCTTTAATTGGGTTATCATTTGGAATTAATATTTCTTTGAAATGTTTGTGGACCTTAGGTATATGTTATCTGATAACCAATTTTATAAAATCCTGCTGTATGGAAAGGCCAAGCCATGGAGTGAAAAGACAGACTCAAAGCTGTTGACCTGAATTGAACTTCCTTATTCATTGTGTTCCATCCTTATGGACTGTTCCCTGGGATTTTAAGACAGCAAAGACCCATATCTGTATTACAGGGAGATACAGGAGAAATGCTGAAGGCACAGAGTGTAGGTATCAATGGAAGAGAGAGCCAGGGCAGTCAATTGTGTGCGTGGAGGAGGTGAACCAAAGACCAGCCTTGGAAACGACTATAAGGTAGTCCTTGACTTACGACTACAATTAAGCCCAAAATTTTCATTGCCAGGTGCCCAAATTTTGATCACGTGACTGTGGGGATGCTGCAACAGTCCTAAGTGTGAAAAACGGTCATACTGTATGTCACTTTTTTCAATGCCATTGTAACTTTGAACTAAACAAGTGGTTGTAAGTCGAGGACTACAGGAGTAGAGAAGTAGAGTAGAGAAAGCTGAATGCTTCATAACCCTTTCAAAGATACAGATCAGCTACAGTCAGCCATTAACAAGTAATTTTAATTCCTATGAATTGATAAAGACTGAAAGCAAAAGAAGGAACTCAGTAAAAGGGGTCAGCTACAAGCCCATGAAAAGATGTTGTAATATTGTCTTTACTGCTAGTCCATGTATGCCATGCACTGAATAAATATATTGTCTTTATTGCTCTAAATGGTGGGCAGTTAAACAAACACAGGGGAAAAAGGAAATCTGTAACTGCCAAATATTGTCATTTATCACTATGCCATTATCATTTATGAATATAATTAGGCACAGATAAGTAGATTAGTTCTCTATTTTTTGTTTTGTATAAAACAAACTAACATGTAAATATCGAAAGAAAACATTCAGCATTTGAGCCCATGGTTTGTACCTTAACTGAAACACTCAAACAACCTGGGAAAATAATTTTACCTAAAGTTGTAAAAAACAAACCCCTCTATAACTAATTCTGATAGACTTTTGTTTTAAAACAAAAGCTCTATAGTTGGAAAGAAGATGATTATCTATAATAGTCATTATTCCTTTACTTTGTAGAGTTTATTTTAGTCCAACCAAATTACTATATTTAGCAGGAAACTCATGGAGGTGCTGAGGAAATCAGGAATTACGGTATTTACCTTTGGGCATTTCTTTTAAGATGTTGAACACAGCACTTTGTTCAATGTAACTTTTAGCCTTGAAGAAATGCATAGCAGGTGGAAATATCCCAGTTTGCATAGCTTTCATTACTTCTGTTTTTTTGAGGTGCATAAGCTTGCAGTTGAAATTTTCTTCCTGTTGTGTTAGGATAAGGTTGCCACCTGTACGGCGGGCATTCTCCTTCTGAAGTATCATCTCCCGTTTGGTCAATGGGACGCTTACACATAGGGAAACCCAACTGAAAATGAGGATCACCCAACCTCCAAAACTCTGAACAACCACTTTCATTGCTACAGGGGCACACCTAGAAAACACAGACACAAATGCAAACAATTTTTCAAAAAAAATCTAAATTATCTTAAGTATAGGAAACAACCAGAAAAGTCCGAGTGACCTGTTTTCAAAAACATGTCCTCTGCTTGAAACTGAAGGATTTAAGTTTTAGAGATTTAAATATTAATTTAAGGGTTCAAGAATTTCTCCAAGAGATTTTCCAGCCCACATTAACAGCTTGCCCCTTTCTAACAAAGGGTCCTCAAAAGCTCACTTGGAGACACCCCCACAATTTACTTACTGATGATTTTTCCTTCCTTGTGTTTGGTAAAAGCTCTTTTTCACAAGCCAAAAGCCACAGCTTCTCAGGAACATATAGGTAGTCTGGCTGTGTGTTGAAACTAATCCTCCAACACAGAACAAAGTAGATATACTACCAGTTGCGATGCCTTTATTGTTTCAGCCGGACCATAGAATTCCTCGTCACTCTTTAAATAAAGAAGGAAGCCATGAAAATGGTAATGAATTACAGAAAAACTATGATTTTCATGCTCACTTAAGCAAAAATTAGTATTATTCACTATGACTTATTTAGAAGTATACATGCATGGATCACAAAGGCTTTTGTAGATCACCACCTCTCTGCCTCTCAGCTATGTTACCAGTGCTTTAGGCACCTTGGACCCAATCCAGCACAAGGACTCTTGATGCAATGGACATCTAACGGTTCTGTTTTTTAAAGGACACGGAAGTAAAAATAAGGTTGTGAATAGACTGCTTATTCAGATGCATGTTACTGATTTATTATATTTAAGAAAGTAGGAAAGGCTGATATAAGCCCTTAATGGGGGAAATAGTAAGTTGAGAGGGGAAGAAGACAATTACATTTCTTACATTAGCAAAACTATCATAGGCATCAGACAACAGGAAGCTGTGGTACCTACACAATTATTGTCCAATCATCTCAGACACAAGAAAGCAAACAGAAGAAAAAAGATAGTTTTAAGGGGAACAAAACAAATTTGCAGATGACTGCAAGCTGGGGGGAACTGCAAACAATTTGGAAGATAGACTCAAGATTCAAAAGGATCTTGATAAGACTTGAGCATTAGGCCCTATCTAATAAGATGCAGTTCAATGGTGAGGAAAGTAAGGTAACCAAATGTACAGTTCAGAATCGGTAGTACCTGACTCAACAGCACTAACTGTGAGAGAGAGCTAGGTGTCTTACTGGATCACCACTTAAGTATGAGCCAGCAATGTGCTGCAGCTGCCAAAAAAGCCAATGCATTTCTAGCCTGCATCAACAGACGGATAGCATTAAGATAACAAGAAGTGATAATGCCACTTTATACCACACTAGTGAGTGGTATACATTTGGAATACAGCATACATTCTGGTCACCATGATACAAAAAAGATGCTGAGACCCTGGAAAGTGTGCAGAGAAGAGCAACAAAGATGATAAAGGGTCTGGAGGTTAAATTGTATAATGAACGGTTGAGGCAGCTAGGTATGTCTAGCCAGCCTATTGAAGAGAAGGATTAGGGTGGACACAATAACTGTCTTCTATCTAGTACTTGGCGGGCTGTCACAGAGAAGAGTAGGGCTAACTTATTCTCCAAAGCACCAGAGGGCAGGACAAAAAGTAATGGGTGGAAGCCAACCTAGAAGGAGACATTTTTTTTTAACAGTGATAATTAATCGGCAGAACAGCCTGCCTCCTGGAACTGTGGGTGCTCAATCACTAGAAGTTTTCAAGAATAGGCTGGACAACCATTTGACCAGGATGGTATACGTATATTAGGTCAGGGGGTTGTAATAGAAGATTTCCAAGATCCAACATCCCTTCCAGCCCTATGATTCTATGTTCTGAAATGCAGTTTCCAGAAAAGAAATACAGGTAGTCCCCAACTTATAAGAGTTCATTTAGTGACCATTCAAAGTTACAATGGCACTGAAAAAGGTGACTTAAGACCGTTTTTCACACTTACGACCATTGCAGCATCTTCGCGGTTATGGGATCAAAATTCAGACGCTTGGCAACTGACTCATATTTATGACAGTCGCAGTGTCCCGGGGTCATGGGAATCACCTTTTGTGAACTTCGGATAAGCAAAGTCAATGGGGAAGCCAGATTCACTTAACAACCCTGTTGCTAACTTAACAACTATGGTGATTCATTCAACAATTGTGGTAAGAAAGGATGTAAAATGGGGGAAAGTTCACTTAACAAATGTCTTGCTTAGTAACAAAAATGTGGGGCTCAGTTGTGGTTATAAATTGAGAACTACCTGTATTTCCTTGAGAGAAGAAATCTGGATGCCTTAATAACACTGTTGCAGCCACTGTCCATTTATCTTAAGGGTAAAACCACATCATGGCTTAGAAAGCTAGAAGAAAAAATAGCAGCGATTACAAGGAAGAACTTCAGTGGGCTGGATTAGGTTTACCACAACGGGCTTTAGCCTAAGTTAATATCAGCCAAAACCAAATAATTCGTTTCAAACATTTATCAATCTAAAATAGCCACTATTTTTAGGCATATCTTTCCAATGGTTTCTTTAGTTCAAATACTTATGGAACATTATTTGTCCGAAATGGTATAGGGTTTCGTGTCTGAGCAGGGGGTTGGACTAGATGACCTCCAAGGTCCCTTCCAACTTTATTTATTTATTTATTTATTTATTTATATTTATATTTATATTTATATTTATATTTATATTTATTATTATTATTATTATTATTATTATTATTATTATTATTATTATTATTATTATTATTATTTCAAACATCTTTGGTTCATGATACCATCTTATCAACGAACTAGGCCACAAAAGATTTGCAGGTTTATTTAATAAAGATAGTTATATATATAGCAAAGCACTCTTAGAGGGCTTATGTTTTGCTTTTTAGAATGAGCCCTCAAATACATATTTTCTCACTACATAAACTTTCCCAAAGCAGGATGATTTTTAGCTGATCTGTACCACTGCTCCAATATTACTAGTTGAATAAATCTGTAATCACCAGCATTTCCTGATCTGCCTGCCTAGGCAGATGGGTAGCACATTCTTAAAGAAGTCCTAGAGAAAATAAAGTATTTTAAACAGAATCTTAGACAGTATTGCGGTACAGAATCTTAAATTATTATTATTTTTTATTATTATTATTATTTATTATATTTTTACCCCGCCCTTCTCCTTGCGGACTCAGGGCGGCTGTTGGAAATCATCTTCATACAACAAACAACATATTTAAGATAGATGACAATATCTCTAGCCTCTTAGAAAGCACAAGTTGGAGGGCTATACTGTGAAACTTAAAATTAAATAGTGAAAGCAATGCAACAATTCGGGATTGAACTACCAGAAAAATCTCTCATAGCACCAAATAAGATATAATTAAAGCATAACACAACTACTAATTTTTATTAGCTGTAGGAATCCTGGATTTTATTTTCTGATAGAACTATGAAAGCAATTGCTATGGCAGTTTAGATATGGAGGCTGGGCTTGCCCAGCATTTAACCATGATCCTAAACTTGTATGAGGTCATAATTACGTGTTCATCTATGCAGAGATTATGAGTACCAAACAGAGGGAACTAGAAGTCTTAACCTATGTCTTAAGACATTGTTAGGAATAAAAATTTAGAATAAAAAGTAAAGTGACACGTGCTCTGTAAAATTTCTACACGCAGACAGTAACATTTCTACACAAAATTTCTACACGTAGACTGCAAGATTTCTACACAATTCTACATGTACACGTACCTTGTAAGAGTTCTGCACGTAGGCTATAGGATTTCCACACTGAGCTATAGGATTTCATGATAAAGTACATATAAGGGAATAGGTGAAACAAAATAGTAAGGGGCAGGGATAATGTATTTTGTTTAGGCGGCTCTGATAAGATTGTAACCTCAGAGGAGGGGCCAAGGCGTCGGGATAGAATGTATATAATGTGTGTTTTCGCTGTGACTAGGTGTGGCTCAAATATTTATTTGGAGTCCACCACGCTTTGCAAACCGTTGTATCCAATAAATCTCTGTCTAATTTCAACTTGCTGTTTGGTGTTATTCAGTGGGCTAGAATTTCTACCAACAACATAGACCAGAGAGGTGTCATGAAACTCAATAAGATCAAAGTCATGGCAGGAAGGGTAGCAAATAGAACTAGATAAGCTTATTTCCTTTTTTTTATTATTCTGCATTCCTTCTTCTCCGCTGATACAGGCATCTTAACTCCTCCAAAAGGAGCTAACAATGAGCAGAAGTCCCTTTTGAACCTGGGAAAGCCAGCCATCGTTTCTGCACAGTTGCCATAGACAAGACCTCTGAAGATTCTTGTTCTGTATGACAACAGAAGTCATTTTTGCCTCCTTCCACTCTGACCCTGGCTCTGTTGATCTTAACAATGGCTACCTGCTGGCACGCAACACAAGAGGGCCAGGGGGCTGGGCACAAAGGCCTCTTTCAGATGAGGGGTTTACTCTAAAGCAGCCAGGCTTGGAGGAGGCAGAGTGAACAGCTTTCCTCCCCCTCCAGCCCCCCTCCACCCAACCACTTTGCATTTCACACAAAGCCAACAATCACTTTGGAATCCCCCTTCTCTGCTGTTCTTTGCGTTTTGTGACTTATCCTACCTGCCCACCACTGGCCACCAGTAGGACATAAAAGCAAACAGATACTCACGGAAAGAGAAACAGGAGAAATCTTTTTCTCCTCACAGTAGTAATTTATGAGCATTTGGAGTTAAAGAATATGGATACAAATTAAGTGCCAACATACCTCACTTAACCTATAAACTGAGCATATACAGGTAGTCCTCAACTTACAACCACAACTGAGCCCAACATTTCTGTTGTTAAGTGAGACATCGGTTAAGTGAGTTTTGCCCCATTTTATGACCTTCCTTGCCACCGTTGCTAAGTGAATCTGGCCTTCCCCATTGACTCTGCTTGTCAGAAGGTCGCAAAAGGTGACCGCATGATCTTGGGACACAGCAACAGTCATGAGTA